ATAGGTTGCATTGCAGTTATGGCATATCTTTCCCTGGAGGGTATTACGGCATGGTAGCCTAACATCTCTCAGGAGTTACATATATAGTTGATATGCTCTGGGGAAGGAACATAATCACCTAAATATGCTCTCTTCATATCTTTCACCTCCAGTTTCTGTGATTCTGTAATTTTAATAGCTAAGAGACTGGCTTAAACTCTGAAACGTAACACCTTACCAATCATTCAAACTTGTTAGCATTTGCTTTTGCAAAACCTACATCCCCAGTTGGTCTAATCCTTTGCTTAATTCTGCGTCCATAGCCTCCAGGAGGCCATATTCAAATTTAGAATAAGCTCACATCAAGCTTATCCACACAAACAATATTTTATCTATCCGTCTTGTAGTTTGGTTTGAATTCGGCCCAAAAATGAAAGCCTTTTTTATAAAAATGCAGTACTTTCCTGAGAACCAGAACACTGAGATAGATCCCAACACTAAAGCGTTCCCTTTTTAATGGACATTAAATCTGGATGTAGGTTGCTTCAGTGACTACTTTTAAGAAAGTGGAACTGCTGTTGAACTAATTACTGAGAAAATTATGAATCAGTCTGGAAGCAAATCTTCTTCCAAAATGCCTTAGAAAAGCTTCCAGGATGTACGGAAGACATTTTAAACAGAAGATCAGTCTTGCTTTGTTTTAATCTCATTGAAACATTCCTACTGAGCTTTTTTGCTCAGTAGGTTTTGCAGCAGTTTTGCAGCAGTTTCCCCATATATGTTAAAAATCCAGTGCAGAATAATATTTCGAAACAAACTGGGCCACGCTGTCCTGCACTGAGGTTTGCTTGGCAAGGCAGAAGGGGCAGACCACAAGGAAGCTGGCTATGGCTCTCTCATCTTCTGTCCTGCATTAAGGCAGCTCAGCCTCTGAGCAGGTTCACAGAGGCCCCAGCCCTATCTCATGCTACCTGGCAACACACCCCCACCCTCTGACAACTGGCAAAACTCAGCCACGCTCCGGCCAGACCCGGTTCTGTCCCAGGCTGCACCTCCAATAGGCTGACAAAGGGAATCCCTCAAGAGGAACTTGCAGCTCACCAAATACAGCCAGGGTCAGACCTGCAGCGTGACCGGGGTAGCACAAAGGGGATGAACTACGGAGGAAAATCTCACTCTGAAAATATTTCAAAATCAGCACCTATTTCCACTCCAGTTTTATGCATTCTGCAGGTAAGATAAGAGTTGAACAAACTCCTTATATGGAAAACAACCTCAGCACAGAAAACTAACGTTGTTAAGCAATAGCGTAGTTATAAAGCTTTGATTTGATTGCTTGCACAAGTGCTATGCTACTATCTTGCATGTCATCAGAGCTTGTCAGCAAAAATATGGTGAGAAACTACATCCTAAATCCTCAAGTTAATCCCATGCTTGTTCTTTACAGGTTATAAGAAGGTTGGAAGATCTCATGTCATCATTTCATTCTTTGTCTTTGACAGTAGTGAGGTCTGATTAAGCCACACGGTAACTTAGTATTTTTCTCAGTCCCTTCCAGGACCATTCAGTTGCTCTGGCAGTGTCAGGCACTACAGCTATACACCCCTGCTGTTTCCAGCACTGCCCTCTGTGTGAGTAGGACTGTGCAATTGTTTCTCAGCTGGCTGAAAAATTGTGTGATTCTTGACAAAAGGAACTTGTGCAAGGGCAACGATATAGCTTGTACCTTCAGCTAAATCAGGGACCAAAAAAGGTCTCTCTCTTTTCAGTGCTGGTAAATAGTACATGAAGGCAAACGCTATTACAACATAATATTTGGTAATCTACTTACAGCAGAGTTTCTGGGAACCAACAGTCATATGAGACTATCAATTAAAAAGATAAATTTCTAAATTTATGCATAAAATTGACCGAAGTATGCCCTGAAAAAGTCAGCAAATAAAATAGCCAAAACTATTTTTGAAGTTACAGTCTTTAAGCCAGTGTCATAGCTTTCCGAGTCCACCTGACAAACATAGAATATTTAGGCACAGTAGGACTGTGATTAAGGAAAAAGGTTTTTTTCAGCAACCGATCACCAAATTCACAAGGGAAAATATTAGATGTGTTTTTCTGTTTCAGCAAATCTATAAAGCACCAACATCATTATAGGCTTAGCTAAGGAGATAATTGTAACATAGAAATTGATCATTCACCTATATAGGTGTGTTAAAAAGAGCTATGTAAGTGTAATAGATAATGTCTGCACATGACTCTAAACTTGCCCGTGGGCTTATGAAATTGATTTGTTCAGTGAGAAGCATGGCTATTTTGCATACACCTATACAGATCTCTTTCTTTTCCCTGCCCTGCCCTCAAAGAAAAGGAGCAAAATCTTTGCATTTCTGGCTATAAAGAAGTTCTTTTCCTGTATGACATTTTATAAATAATGGCATGACTTCACTGGACAAGAGACATTATTATAGGAATGAAAAGCACTTTAGCCTGATAAAGGTTTACCTTGTTTTCTAGAAAAAGTGCAGCAACGATGTCAATGCTAAAGAGTAAGAAAGCCGAAGCCTGTTTCAAACGAGCTGAATACAAGTTTGTGAGATACTTAGTGGAACTTGGAAACTACTTAATTTTTCTCCCAAGAGTGTAACAGAGTTATCATCAGGATCTTAATACTGTTACTAAAAACCAGCCACATCTGTCAGGGTATTTCTTCAAAAGTCTAAGCTATTTATATGTATGTGTAGTCACTCCCTGTCAAAGAATTGCTTTCTGCTTTTCTTGAGAAGACAGGAACACAATCATTTCCTGTTACTTGATTGTCTCCAACTTATCCTTACAGAATTTACAATGCAAAGTAATTGTAAATCTTGATGACTAGAATCTTTTAGAATTTAATAAAGATACATGCTTTAATGGGTTTCTTTACTCAGCCATCATTTTTCATAATTGAAATCAAAAAACCTTTACTCATCCTATGAGTTTGCTCATTTTGATCATCTGTGATTAAGATGAGTAAAACCTTCCCAAAGAAGCAATTCAGCACAAGCTGCCCCCACGCTTCTGAAGGAATGAAAGAAAAAAAAAAAGGATCAGTCAGAAACTGGCAAGGAATCCTGCCCTTGGATAGCCTGCCATTGGAGTCTTGCATCACTAAACCTGCATTCTTAAGTGATTTCATCTGTCGACAAGGGTTTATTTATCACTTACTTTTGACAACTTTCAGTCATATTTATCCATGCTGGTCCTTTCGTCCTCCATTTAATAATGCTTACTTTAGAGGTTCTCGGATCTATGATCTTGGCTGATTCACCACCTTTTTGCATTTGGCTTCACCAAAAGGGATTTTACTGTTCTGCAATCACGCTCTTCAGTTTCTCTTCCTCTGTTACAGTGGATAACACTACCGTCTCTTCTCCATCACCAAGGCTCAAACACTATGGTAAAGTCAGTTTTGCCTGTTCTCTCCCCTGCTTGAAGATAATTGTCAAATCTTGTCTACTTTTTTCACGATACAAGTCTATTCCTTCCTTTTTAGCCAAACATTTGGACTTTTCTTCTGTATCTTTTTTTCTCTTCTTGGGTCTCTCCTATGCTATTTTTCCCCCCTGTTTTTCCCCTTCAAAATGCTTGCTGCCAAAACTGTCAATCACCTTTCCTTTCTTACACAGATGCAGTGGAAATCATGACCGTCTAAAACTTCGGGTACATGTGAAATATTACACACTTAAATAACAGAACATTGAAGATAAGCAGTAAAAATCAATCACAGCAATAGTACCTCCTCTTACATTTCCTCAGACACTTTGAGATGCAAGTATCATCTTATCGAGGGGAGGATGAGGGGAGGAAGGTACCAACTTCTTTTTTCCAAAGACAGAAGCTTATGTACATAAATGGTTTACATCCTTCTGAGACTGCAATAATGACCATATGCATATACACCATACTGTACACCATTATAACTGCATGATGTATCTGGCACATTAACATTTTCACTCCCACTATAATCAACAGCAATTTCATCTTGCAAGTTAATTCTGTATAATATCTGTAGCCTGTGAATTACTCTTTCTCATTCTGTTTTGAAGTGTTTTCTGACCAGCGAGTCTGTGTACCTCTATTCACCTGAATATGCTGAGCTAAAGTGTTTGGACACCCCCTCTTTGTTTAAATGTGTGTAAGTAATTAGGTTTAAATCTATCTGTTTGAGTCTGGCACCTCTTGTTTTAATCCTCGGCCATCTCTCCTCATTCTGCTCTGGCTGGAGCCAAGCTGAGGTCCTGAATCTCTTGCCCTCTGCTGAGAAATCTTAAGGCACTGACATTGAAATACTGACATTTTTTGCAGGTATGGCGCAAGTAATTCAGTTAAGACACCAGGCAGTATCATACTGGAAGAAAGGATGAAGAAATAACTTGAAAGAAGAATGAAAAAAATAAACCTCCAGCAATGCTCAAGCTCTGGCAAACTGGGTAAGATTTTGATACAGGACGCTGGCATTGACACATGCTTTACGGGCATTTTGCAGCTAGGACAAAGAAAGATGCTGAGGCAAATCAAACTGCCTGCTTGTTGCATGAAGATTCACCTGAAAATCAGAGTCCCCCACTGTACTGACCCATGGAAACCAGCCCAGACCCTGGTCCAGCCAACCAGCCCAACGAGCCCTCATTGTGTGACAACACACGGACATCGACAACTCCGGCTGCGAAAACTGGGTCAGCATCATTGCACTTGCCTTTGTTAAAAATTACTGGTGTGTTGTTCTGTAATATACATGGGACATTTATCTTTCCTTCTCAAACATGAGCGAGTACACTCTTTGAATCCTGTTCTCCTTTTACACTTCATAGCCTCGTGCTCTATTCAGCAAGCACCCAGAGAGCCAGTTTGATTGCCCTGAAGCCTTGCAGATACCTTGCAACCACATTGCCAGCCAAAAAGCTACACTTTGTAATTTCCCAGCTCGCCTCCTTGTTCCCGTGTTGTACCCATAGCTCTTACCTCCTCTCTGTCCTCCCAAAGCGATGGCCTTTGCTGTGTTTGAGTTCTTGACCACCTGCCTCCTGAGCAACACCTGGGGCCCTCCTCAGCTTTTTGTGCCATGTACTCTCGGGTCAGTATCACCACATTCAAAGCAGAGTGTCCCATCGCAGGAACGTACTGAGAATTAAACATTCAATAGTTAGATTATCAAGTACCTGGTGCATTTTGATCAGTCAGGTTATTAATGAACTTCATCAGCATAAATTCTTCTATCAGTTTAGATCTCACCAACGTTTTTACGAATCTACGCAGAGATATTCAGTTGGATTCAACATAGAAGAAATCTCAAGTTGGAAACAGCATAGAAATTTTAACAGGGCAGGGATGCTTCTGTCGCGCCTACCATTGCTTGTAAAACAGCAGTAATGGAATAGCAAAACCAGTGCAAGTGGAAACTGAGTTTTTTATAGTGTTTTAGCAGAATGCTGCGCTGCACAGCAGCGTTGCTTTCTTAGCTCTGCATCATCTTGGGCCTCTTCAGCGACTCAAGCCGTCTTTCCTGAGGCATCATCCCGCTGAGTAACAACAGCCCTTACGCCTTAGGTCTGCGATTTCCTCGCCGCTTGGCCACAGGACCGGGGGACACGTCCTTCTGTGCCCAGCTGCCCGTCGGTGCGGGGCCGCCCGGCCCTTCCTGCCCGCCCGCTGCAGCAGCCTGGCACAGCCGCCACGCGTGAAGCTGCCAGGCGCCCACCAGCAGGAGTCTGCAGATAGGCAGGGTGAGGGTGGAAAGGGCGGAGAGGGAAACGCAGCGGGATTTACCGGCTCAAGGCTCCCCAGACCCGAAGAGGCTCTGGGAAGGACATCTCAGAACTGTGGATTTTTGCTGCTGCTGCTGCAGAGACTTAATAGCGAGCAACTGCTGCTCTTCTCAGTTGCCAAGGTCAGGGCATGAAGCACGCGGTCGGCAGTGGTTTTTCAGCACTTAATAACCCCGGAGGGAGCAACTTTTCATATTATTCCAGGCAAAAAAAAAAAAAAAAAAAAGAGGCAAAACCCAACCCGCGTGGGGGCCGAGACCCCTTTTCTGCACTCCCGCAGCCCACAGGAGGACAGACCCTTCCCA